TTCAAACTCTAAAACATGAGCCACCCTTAACAACTGTAAACGTCACTATGTGGGGATGTACCTATGATTGTGGCTTCGGCTTTATGGCGAAAATAAACATGGATGATTTTTCGGTTTCGTCGTATACCGAAAACAACATTAATAATTACAAATGTAATTTTAGTAATTACACGATGAAACTTATTCCAGCCCTAAAATTACATATAAGCAAAAAGAACCAAACCCAGATCATGTATTTCTACCCAGATCAACCCGATTTTCAAATTAATCAAATAGAACATGTAGCCGAATGCATCGATTGTTTTACTGGTCATGAAGTTGGATCATACGCTGCATCTCTTCAGTTCGGTAATGGCAGCTCGTTCAATCCTGAAGGTTATGGTGTTGCTACATATCACATGATTGATTCATCAAACAAGCTGTTCAATTATTGGGATATGCACCATCGTGGTTTCCATGATGCCCTTAATGAACTAAGTGTTAAAATGACTCCCGATAATCTAAAAGAGTTGATCCCACCGCCGCCGCCATCGCCTAAAAAAAACTTGCTCTTATTGATTTTACTTCCTATAGCCGCTGCCATTGTATTTTTTGCTGCTCCTTATGTTTGGGGTTTAATTGGAACAGCAGCGGAGGTCGCGGATGCATCCGTTGTCGAAATCTCCGAACTTGGTGCCGAAATGGGTGCTGCAGATGATGCTATAGCATCATCATCTACGGTAGCCAGAAATACAGCGGTACGTTGGAGAAATATAGCGCAAAAAACTAAGGCAGCTTTCAAAGCAAGAAAACTTGCTAAAGATTATAGAAGAGTGAAAGAATTGACAGACGAGTGCGAAGAAGATGAATGCACAGACGAAGAAGTAATGGAGGAAATAGCATCTTACTATGAACGTTCAAGTAACCCGAACATTGCACAAATCCTTGGAACTTTGAATAGGGCTTACAAAAGAGAAAAGAGGGATACGTTGCCGGCGGATAATTTAGGATTTTATACGACTAACATGGTGAATGCATACTTTCTTCCAAGTGTAATGGACAATGTTCATCAATCATTTACCGGAAATGATCAAAACTATCCAGATATTTCATCATATCTATCAGCCGCAAGTGAACATCTCTTATTCCATTTTGAAGATACATTACACAATAATTTTTTTGCTGCAAACAAGTCAATATTAGCTGGTTTTACTGTTAATCAAGGGATGAATTATGATCAATTACTTACCAATGATGATGACGTATATAATACTATTAAAAACAATACATATAACAATTTTGCGGCATCAATAATAAGCATTACCTTACGAGATGTTAATGTTGAAATATGTGATCCAAAACCCTTATTTTGCGGACAACCTTGTGATTCTGGTCATATTTATTGTCCAACAATCGGAGATGATAACTGTATAATAAGTGCCTCAGATGGACAAATAAAAGAACTTAAATTTCTTCGAGATCCCTTTGATATATGTTCAACTGATAAAAGTACTGGTTGGGATATAAACCATAATTCCAATTGTGATATTAAACATTTCCAATGTCAATAATAGGTCAAACGTGAATGCAATTTAGTATTTATCAATTCACCCACGTATTATTATCGTTCTTTCAATGAATGTTGAATGATTTGAAGAATTATTGAATAATGTTGTTATATTATTTGTAAGCTATTATTTTAATTTGTAATTTAATATCTAATTAAAGAAATTCATTTTAAAACATTTATAGCTTACCCTTTAGTAATTTTTTTTACTTATTTTAATAGAGTAAATAATAATAAAATTCATAATATTCGTGATATATTGCTAAGTTGATAAAATTACATTTACCCTTTATAATTGAAAATATTCAGCACACTTTTAACATAGAAATGCACCTTTACTTTTGAAGAACCAGATAGAAATAGCTGTACTTCAAAATATTCAAAAAAAAAATAAATTAATAAAAATGTTTTTGGATCAGAAAAAGAAATAAGATAGCATTTTTTTAAATAATAACATTTATCAACAAATATACTAGATTTATTTATTTCTTAAATCTCTATATATGAAAATTAAAATAAAGAAAAAAAAAATTAAATATTATATTAAATATATATAATGAAATAAAAGCATATACAAAAAAGATTGAAAAATGCTATGTATTTCTTAGTTTTGTTTTTCAATAAATAAACAATCATAAATATCATCATCACTTTATTATAAAGAATTAATCAATACAATTGCTAAAATATAAATTAAAATTTTTTTTCATTTTTTTTTAAAAAAAATCATCAAATATATTATTTATTAAGAATATATGATTTGTTTGATAATGTATACTAATTATTACTTATATTTGTTACATAATATTATACAATTAACTAATGCAAGTTTCTTTTTAATTAGTATTTTTAAAATTAAAATATTTTAAATTATTTGCTTTTATTAATTTGTATTCATAATTTATTTGATAAAAATAATAAATAAAATAAAAATTTTTAAATAGAATAATGTGTATTTTTACCTAAATTTATTGGTAAAATTTATAAATACTTTTCAAAAAATCATTAATATGTTCGTTACCCTTACCAAAAATTATCAATAAAAAAAAGAATCAAAAAGAAAGGTAAAACACACCTTTAGAAACAAGAAATCTAAATCGTACTATACTGATATTCCATATATCACAAACTTTGTTACGCAATTTAAGCAAGTTAAATTATACTATAATTTTTAAATTTAAATAATTTAAAGCTGTTTCAAATAAATTTAAATGTAACCTAGTGTTGTATTGAAGGAATAGAGCTATAAGAAATTAAATGTTTATCACTTAAAATCATTTTAATTTAATTTTTAGCAAGTACTGTATGAAAAAGAAGAAAAAATAAATATAATAAATAAATTTTTTGTGAAGTTAGGAATAAAGATTGTAATTAATTTTTATAAATAATCATTAAAGAAAAACGAAACTGTTCTAAAGGAGGCGAAATTGGTTCCTGAGTCAAATTAAACTTAATCGTTTCTAAAAGTTCTAGAGTTAACAATGCTTATTAAAAACAAAATGTCACCTTCTAATTTTAAAAACTGCAATAATATGAAGCTCACTAGTCAAATGATGATAAATCAGCATACAATCAAATACCAATAACATATCTTATTAGATTTTGATGGGATAACGGTAATTAAATATTGTATAATATGTATGAATGTCAATTTAGTTAATTAATGGCTTCAATCAGCTTATAATATTCTATGATCGGGATGCGAGATCAGATTGTTTATTTGAACTAAAATATTTACTGATTGTAGTAAATGAATAATACCAATTATGATTAAAAAGAAAATAAAACCACATCGGGTTGTACTAGAATTTTACTATTTCATTCAATCAATAATTCTGATCGATATTGATTTCTTAATTTTATTAGTATAGAATTGTTTTTATTTGTCCTATAGAATATACATCAGAATATATTATTTTACTATTTGTAATACTATTAATATTAATTTTTGCAACATTGTATTAAATTGAAAATAAACTATTATTATTAATTTTTAAAACGAATTATTATTAGCCACGGCCATCCATGCTTCAGTTTCCTCCGATCTGTTCCTGTTAACCAATTTATGTTTTGTTTATTCTACTGATTGGTTTCTACTATTTCCAATTTTGGACTTTTTGGAGGTCAATTAATAGTTTCTTCGATTTTATGTCTTTGTTTGATGTTCCTGATTGATGCTTTTTTGATACTGTTAGTGTCTGATCTCATCACATTAATAGAGCTAAGAATAATAAAACCAGTAGTATGAGCAGTAAGAACGGTAGTAGGAGAAGGACCTTTATTAGGATTATTAGAATTAATAGTAGAAGTAGAACCTGTATGAGAAGTATTAGAACCCATAGTAGAAACGGTAGAATTATTAGGAGTAAGTGATAAAGTCAATGATTGTGAAAGTGTATTTGAAGAATATTCATTATACACTCTTTGTACTGCTATTGTCAATGAGCCACTATAGCCCCGAAGAGTCTACCTAGGTGCTTTGAAAGGAGCTGATTGCTCTTTATCATAAAAATTATGTTCGTCGTAGATTCAGGTTCACTTTTTTAGGATTTTTGAAGATTTTAAGAATATACGATCGACATAATCTCTTAAAAATTAATGTAACTACGAATAATTATAGATTAATTACAATTAAAAGTTATAATAAATATCAATAAAATTTACATAACTTACTGTCGAAGAACGCCATCTTAAGTCCTTTACAATTATCTTTCGTTGATTTAATGGATATTCTTCATCAGTTTCTGATACTTCAGGCAAATGGTATACATTATTATTCATTATTAGATAAAGTTCTCGCTCTTTGAAAATGTGAACTAATGGATCGTCAATAGTCATTAGAAGCTCTATCACATTTGCTCTATTGTTTTGTTTCTATAATTATAAAATATAATAAGATCAATGAAGAATGAAAAATTAAATAGAAATGGTTTACTCACATCAGCTTGTCAACTATTTGGATGTTTTCTTTTAGCTTGTTGAATTTGTATTGAGGCTGATTGCTGTTTTTTTAAATGCTCCTCACGTTGATGCTTATGTCTGATATATAGCATATCATATACAATATTTTCTGAAACAGAGCTTGCATAACAGCTGGCACAATTGTGTTATTTACTAATGGTCATTGTGATTTAAATGTATAATTTAAGTTTAAGTGGCTAGAAGTTAACATTCTATTAATTATCCAAAATACTTGTCGCTGTAAATAAAGATAAAAATATATCCATAATTAGTATGTATATATATTTAAGTGAAAATGAATAAAAATTCTTACCTTTAAGGCATCTTGGCGATCTTTTGACAAATCTGACATCCGAAAATATTTAGGTTGATCAATACTGGAAGAACTTTCAGAACTTGAAATAGATTTGGTTTCATCATTAGAAATAACTGATTATGATTATAAATCATCGAAAGTAGTTGATCGTGATGGTAATTTTTCATCATTACTGTCATTATTGTCATCTCCATCATCATTACTTGATTAATCTTGATATGTTGATTTTTTACTTTGTAACATATGTTGTAGTATTTCCTAGATGTTTTTGTCTTTCAGAAGTGTTTTAACTATTTATGTAAATTGTTTAATAATATAGTTGATGCATATATTGATATTAAAATAAAACTTACTTTCTTCATCATAATCCTGTTTATCACAATCATCATCACGATCATCAAAACTACTATCACGACCACAGCCATGTTTTTTACGAGATCTTCTATCTGATTTTGAAGAATCTGGATTATTGTAAGACGAAGAACTTTGTCGAGTAATGAAATGTATTAATAACCATTGAAAATTGAACGTATTATGTTACTTATCATTTAATATTACTTACCGTCTTTGCTTTCTATGTCTTCTTCTGTCAGGTGAATAATATCAGCTCTTTTTCCTTCCGTTTCTCTGACTCCTTCTTCTAGATTGGCTTTTATCATTATCTCTTTGACTTGTTAAGCTTCTTTCTCTTTCTCTGCTTTTATCTCGATATCTGCTCCTGTTTTGACTATGACCAATATGAGACGAAGTTTGAGGTTTTGACATCTTATTTCATGTAAAGTAAAAAAATCGAAAATAAATAAAGCGGAAAAAAAGTATTTTTTTTCTAAAAAAAAAAATGAAAGGAAAAATAATTTAAATAGTTTAATTTAATTTAAAAGTTTAATTTACTTTCATCATTAAGTTAATTTAGTTGATCAATAAACTTCGATTATTATCAATGGTATTGTTCTATTTGATTAAACTTTTATCAAATTATACTTTTTCACATGTTTTTAATATAAATGTTGAATAAAATCTGTATATATATTTAATTTTATTGATCGTTAAATTTTTTTGCCAAATTCTTGTTTTTTTTTTTTAAAAAATGATCAAATGAAAATCGAATAACAAATTAGCAATAGTTACAAGACATACAAAAGTTCGACCGAAAGTGCAATGTAACTACATGAAATGTAATGGTCGTTTGGTTGATACTTGAATCAGGAAAACCCATGAAATAAAATATAATCAGCTTAAAGCTTTCTATTTCTAAAAGGAAAAAAAAGAAACGGAAACCTCTAGATCAAAAATACAATCAAAATCCATTAGGATTAATTCGCAAAATTAAGATCACAATGATGATGTTATACAACCTAATTTGGCTGATTCTTCACAAGACCTTGATGGCGATGTTTTTTTAAATAAAGATTCTTTACCTAATTTGGCCAGTTCTTCACAAGAACTTGATGACAATATTTCATTAGATGAGGATTCTTTATCAAATTCGATCAATTCTTTATAAGACCTCGATGATGATATTTTGTCAGACAAAGATAGCTTCACTAGTGATAGAATAATTTTTGCTACAAAACTAAACAATGTTAGAAAAAAGCGAAGAAAATACGATCAGTTTTGTATGATTAGCGATAATACCATTATCATTCCAGATGAAGAATATGAATAACAAGTTGATTCCTCTGGTGATGATGAAGAATTTCAGTTAGTTGATGAGGAATCTTCTTCAGATGAACTATTGTTAAATAATAACGAATCGTTAGCAGTACCTGAATATGTAGAAGAATTAGATACAGAAAATACATTCACAAACATAAATATGAATGATTTTTGGATTCTTTTATGGATCTTCAAATATCAAGAAAGATTCAGGCTTTCAGATATTGCAGTCGATTCATTAATCAAATTCTTCAGGGTAGTACTATCCGATGCTAATGAAAAATGATTTGAAAAATTTCCTGCAAGTGCTTATATGGCAAAGAAGTTATTAGATATAAAAAGGAAATTAAAAACATATGTTGTTTGTCCCTAATGCAATAAAATATATTTTATTACAACAAATCAGATGAATTCAGAATGTAAATGCTCTCATGTAGAATTCTTAAATCATCCAATGCGAAATTAATGGGAAGCTTGTGTGGCAGAATTACTTACAAAAATTCCAGTAACAAATGGATACATTTAGCGTCCTAAAATGATATATCCATTGCCTTGTCTAAGGACTCAAATAATTACAATGTATCAAAGGTTAGGCTTTGAAGAACTTTTAAAGAAATGGGTAATTCAGGATAATGAAATCAGCTTACTTTCTGATATCTATGATGGTGAAAATTCCTATCACACATGGATAATGTAAATTAAGAACGATTTTTCACACCTGCAACAGCTGATTCTCATTAAGGATTAATGATAAATCTCAATTGGTTCCAACCATTTGAGTCATCTTTGTATAGCAGTGGTGTAATATATGGTGTTATATGCAATCTACCACAGGATGTTCATTTCAAAAAAGAAAATATTTTAACTCTTGGCTTGTTACCAAGACCGAACGAGGTCAAATTATATTGGATAAATCATTAACTTGTCCCGATCATAGATAAATTGCTGAAATTCTGAAATGGTGTAGATTTACTAACTAGTAACCAGCATCCTGTTGGTAGAAGAATCAGATTAGCGGTAATCTGTTGCAGCAATGATATTCCAGTTGCACAAAAATTATGTGGACACATTTCTGCTTTAGTGAATTGTCACAGGTGTTACAAACATGCAGATAGTATTGATGGAGAAAGAGCTAATTTTAAGAGTTTTGATAATATATCTGAATGGTTTAGAATACGAGATCCAGAAGAGCTTCGTCACAATGCTACTATTTGAAAATCTAAAAAAACATAAGAAAATAGAAAACAACACGTTAAAACAACTCATGTTAGATGGTCTGAAATGCTTAGATTACCCTATCATGATCCAATTAGGCATCTAGTTGTATATCCTATGCATTGCTTGTTTCTGGGCATCGCTCATTGGATAGTAAAGAGATTATGGATAGATGGTGGAAAACTAACAAAACAAGATCTAGAACTAGTAGAAAAACAGTCAAAATGATTAAGGTACTAGCGGATTTTGGAAGGATTCTATACAAAATTGCAACCAGAGAAGGTTTTTTCAGTTTTACTGCAGATTAATGGAGGATATTCATTATAGTTTACGCTACTCCATTGCTTTGAGAACTTTTGGATGAAGGAGATCAGAAAATCTTAGCCAATTTTGTAAGGGCTTGCTTCTTATTAGTATCAAGAATTATCAATGAACGTGTATTAGAAGAAGCCCATATTCAATTATTAACAGTTACTCATTTAATCGAAGACAATTATGGCCTGGCAATGATAACACTAAATGTCCATTTATTTCTTCATATTATGAAATGTTGTCGAGATTATGTCCTTTATATTCCTTCTGGTGTTACTCTTTTGAACGCATAAATGGAATTTTAGAGTCCTTTCCCAACAGTCATCGTAAAATAGAGCCTGAATTATCACAAATAATATTACATAATTGGAGACTGGACGACCTTATATCATGTCATTTGAATAATTAGATGCTTGTAGAATGCTTGAAGTTCATACAACTAAGAACAACTATGGGAAGCTTAGCCGCTTATGACAATTTCAAATATGTAGAGCTAGCTCATTTTCTGCAAATCTATCATCTGGAAATAGATAATATTATTACGGGTTCAGAAACTTTCCCAGGAGAAATGTTATCCCCCAAAAAAAGCAATGTTAACTTACCAGATAACATTTATAATATTCTGGTAGAATATTATAACGCAGCCTATGATTTAGATTTTGTAACTATTGTGGAATTGGTTCGAATGAATATACGACATTCTGGTTAATGGACTGTTATTAGACTGACTATCAACTAATTTGGGAGAATATATATTAGCGTTGAGACTTTCAGATCAATGAATATATCACGATTTTATAAGAGTTCTTTCATTCTTGTGAGATTTATTTATGATAATAATATATGTGATGTGTATTCTGGTCAAGTACAATTCTACTTTGAATATGAAGTAAACCTTTCAGATGGTAAATATAAACATTACCTGACATATGTAAAATGGTTCTTGTCTGCATTGAATCATCAAACAAGATTCCATTGTCAAGTTACCGATGATATTAACGTTTGTAATATTGAATTGTGAAAATACGATTTTTACAAAATCAACAGAGATATCATTATACTTATCCATAATATATATAGCTGATTTACACTGTGTAAGTTCACAGTAGATCAAAGAAAACCCATCAAATATATGGCGGTAATCCCAATAAATAGACATTTTCATATATAATTGCTTTAAATTGTATTTCTATTTATTTATGGATTTTTATGTATTTACTATCGCATTTATTTATTATATGCTGATGATGATAAACAATACAAATAAATAACAATCGAAATTATATCATAATTTATTCAAAAAATTGATACTAATAGATAATGGTTAACTTTATAAATAAGCAGTAATCGGGTATTATTTTTTTGAATTAATTTATAACAATAGTGCCTACTGATACTAATTTATGATTAAAAAAGTATAACAAACTGTATGCTATTTATTTTATAAATAAATAGCAATCGGAATATACATTTTAAAGGATAGAAAACTGCTGATTGGTATCTAATTTGTTATAATGCCGATTGCTATTTATTTGAAATATTAAAATCTTGGATATTCAAATCTATTTACATCAGGATGGTTGCTAATTTGTCAACATTTTACTAGTGATATAAAACAAATAATGTAAAGTAATGTAATATAATGTATTATATAAAATAATAATATAATATAATGTAATATAATGTATAATATGAAGTAATACAATGCATAATATGAAATGATTAAATTTTTAATAAATATATATACTTGTATTTAATCAAATATAGGATAATCTATAACTATTAATCCTAAATATTACATAGAGGTAGTAAGAATTGCTTAAAAAAAGATGTAAATTAAATTGCAATTGCAGAACTATCAATTTAATTTCACCAAATAAGTAGCATTGTCATGAATGTTTTTACTTCATAATCCTAAATAATATAACTTAGAAAATCAACATATTAACACAATCAAAATAATTTAATTTGAATTTATCAAGTTTAAAACTTGAAAGGAGGAAATGCGTTAGACTCTAAGTCATAAATGACCACCTCTGAATTTTTATAATGTTTGATAAAATATGTAAGGATATTTATTAAAATATAATAAATCAATAGAATTTTATTAAAAAATAATATATAAATTATATTACAATTAAATAATAAATGCTTAATTTGTAGTATGCCTTAACTAAAGTAATAATGTTTTAACCTTTAACTTTCTATCAGTTACTATTTAAGAAATAAAATATTGTAAAAGAGAAAATTTTGAGCTAATTTGTTTCTAAAATAAAAAATAAAATAATACTTTATTAGTTAAGATTTATTAGATTAACATATATTTTATTTTATCAATTTAATCAAAAAGAAATTTTTCAATTTTCATTAATAATTAATTACTTCTTTTCTTTTTGTAGGTATCAGATTATTCACTTTGTGTTAAGTTTTTATAAAAATTAAAAAAAAAAATATTTAATTAAAAAATTATTTTATTCGAATTTACTTTTACCCAAAGGTTCTAAGATTAAAGGTTCAAGGATTGGTCTATAAGATAAGTTAATGTTAATATTTTTTTTTAAAAAATAAAAAAAAAATCTAATTAAATTATTGCATTAAAACTTACTTTCACTCAAAGATTTCAAGATTAGAGGTTCAGAGATTAGTCTATAAAGTAAGTTAATATTAGTATTTTTTTTAAAAAAATAAAAATATATAATTAAATTATTGTATTAGGACTTATCTTCACTTAAAGGTTCCAAGATTAGAGGTTTTAGATCAGTTTATAAGGTAAGTTAATATTAGTATTTTTTTTAAAAAAATAAAAAAAATTAGATTAAATTATTACATTAGGACTTACCTATAACCTAAAATTCTAAGGTTAGAGGTTCTGAATCAGTCTATAAAGTAAGTTAATATTAGTATTTTTTTAAAAAATAAAAATAAATCTAATTAAATTATTATATTAGAACTTACCTCTATCCAAAGATTCCAAGGTTAGAGATTTCAGATCAGTCTATAAAGTAAATTAATATTAATATCTTTTTTAAAATAAAAAAATTCTAATTAAATTATTACATTAAGACTTATCTCTACCCAAAGGTTATAAGGTTAGAGATTCTGGATTAGTCTATAAGATAAATTAATGTTAGTATCTTTTTTAAAATAAAAAAAAATCTAATTAAATTATTGCATTAAACTTATCTTTACTCAAAGATTCTAAGGTTAAAGGTTTCAGATCAATCAACAAGGTAAGTATTTTTTTAAAAAATAAAAAAAAATTTGATTAAATTATTGTGTTAGGACTTACCTATAACCCAAAGATTTCAAAATTAAAGGTTCCAGATCAGTTTACAAGGTAAGTTAATATTAGTATTTTTTTAAAAAATAAAATAAATTTTAATTAAATTATTGCATTAGAATTTACCTTCACTCAAAAATTTCAAGGTTAGAGATTTCAGATCAGTCTATAAGATAAGTTAATATTAGTATTTTTTTAAAAATAAAAAAAATATAATTAAATTATTGCATTAGGACTTATTTCCAAGATTAGAGGTTTTGGATCAGTCTACATGATAAGTTAATAGTATGTTTTTTTTAAAAAAAAAATCATTAAATTATTATATTAAGACTTACCTCCAATCTGGTTAGAGGTTTGAGTTTGATTTTTTAGAATTAGTTTCAAAATACAATCAGGAATTTTGCCAAATACAGAATTTCTAAATATAGTGTTGATTAACAAATGATCGATATTCTAAAAGTTCATGAAAATTCACTGAT